AGAATCTAATGACTCATATCGGGTTGTGGGCTGCCAATCAGAATCTAATGATTCATATCGGGTGGTGGTCTGCCAATCAGAATCTAATGACTCATATCGGGTGGTGGGCTGCCAATCAGAATCTAATGATTCATATCGGGTGGTGGTCTGCCAATCAGAATCTAATGACTCATATCGGGTGGTGGTCTGCCAATCAGAATCTAATGATTCATATCGAGTGGTGGTCTGCCAATCAGAATCTAATGACTCATATCGGGTGGTGGTCTGCCAATCAGAATCTAATGACTCAATGATTGAAGCCAATAACAATAAAGCTGTAAGTGATTGGGGACAGCAAATGATTTAATTATTCAATAATAAATACTAATAAATTGTGGCAGCAACGTATGATGTCATGTACATGGCATTATCAAAAATGAGAAAATAATCATAAAGGCTAATAAAAAAGTATAAATAATACTATATACTGTATTTACTATGTGTTTTTGAAAAAATAAAGAATAGTTTTTGTAAACTTAGTTGAGTAGTCAGTACTGCACATTGTATGCCAAACCATTTAGCTGTCTGACTATGGATATATTCAGTCTTGTTGCACTGTAAGGTAGATCCCAATGGAATATGGGTGGCCGGTTATTATTAAAGCAACTCATCCAGCAAGGATCACCGATACCATGCAGGACTCTGTGGTACATGATGAAAGCAGGTTAAAAGGTCAGTAAATTTAAGGATCCCACCATCACAGGGACCTAATACTGACAAAAATCAAAAGCCTCATTGTATTGCTATGCAGAAAGTTCACCACATGCTACTATCCATCTTTGCTTATGTATTTAAAGATGGAACAAAAATCACCCAACAGAGGCCATACAACAAAAGATACAGTGCTGCAATTCTCTCTCTCTTCTGATCCGACTCCCCCAAACCTCCTTCAGGATACAGACAATCGCTTGGTGGATCAAGTCTTACCCAGAGGTTTCTACATTACAATGAGTCCATTACTGTGCAAATCAGACACAGCCTTTGAAACGCTTCCTGCTCCAAGAAGAGGCAATTTTTGAAGCCAGTGAGATTCTCTTGAGCAGGGGGTGGATGCCCATATGGGCAGCAGGCAGCACAGCGGATGAGGACACAGCCCTAAATTCTGGAGGTCTGGTTTCAAGTCCTAAAACAGCCCTGCTTTAAGTCCCAAAATACCTCGGCTGGGACGTTCCAGCAAGGATTCCTGCTGAATGACTGGATAGAACGATGAATGGATTTGGACAAAACAGTCAACGGTCACGCAATATAACAATGTGCTATAATAAGGCAACAGAAAATAGCCCCAGATCTATCCTTCCATTCCATATATTTCTTAAGTTCGACCATCATCACACTTAATTAAATGAAGAAGTTAATAAACTACATGATGTATTGATCGGCCAAACAAAATATACCAGTGGTTGACTTCAAAAAACATATGGAAATACTAGTTGGTAATAGAAAATACTGGGGTGATAAATACTGGGGTGATAAATACTGGGGTGACGTGAAGGTCGTGACACAGCTAGGACACTTTGGCAGGTAACATGACGTTCATTTAAATTTCCATAACATTCCATAGCATTTCAAGACTCTTCTGCACAGTGATATATAACACGCACACACACACACTGTATATACAAACGCAAATTACACACTACACAAATGTCACAGCATGAAAAAGAAATATTACAATATTATATTATTAAACATAAGATATCTATCTATCTACTATCTATCTATCTATCTATCTATATAATGTGTAATGTATACAGTTACTGTATGATTACGTCTGTGATACATGTATACCTTATTTATTAAGCAGTTCACTGTGCTGCGTATTCTGATACACATCTTAACAAGTATTTTTTTGGGGGGGGGGGGGGGGGGTGTCCTGCTCACCTTCTCCAACACTGTAAGCCAGAATGGCACGAGCTCTCATCTGCTTGCCCTCCACAGCTCTGCCTGAGCACGTGTGGGAGCATGAGGACCATGACGTCCAGGGGCTGAGGACGCAGTCTGTGGGACAGGGCAGCTCGCAGGGCACGGGCTGCGGGTAGGAGGTTCCCTCACAGAGCTGACGGTGCACCACGTTACCTATGGAAACACCATAAGGCAGGATAGTCGCATTTTGGTCGGGCTTTGAGCAGGGCCCCTGAGCCCCCAAGTCCAGGGGCGCTCTATGCTGGCTGACACTGCGCTCTGCCCCCCAGGCTTGCTGTCACCTACACATGTATGTCATGGAGAGAATAATGGGGTAAGCGAAGAGACGCATTCCAGTGTACCTGTACTCAAACTTGTGCAAATGGCAAATAAATGATCCTTTATAACACTGGATCCAGACTATCACCTGCAGAAATGCTTACTAATGTAACTAGGGTGTCCTTGTGTATCTTATTTTGGGACTGTCATAAATAGGTTATCTGTCTTGTGTGAAGCATATGAATCCATTCAAATTAATGGTGCAGTTGATGTCTGGTTTTCTCAACAGAAAATGCATTCTATTAGAATGTTTTTGGGGGATTGTTAAATTATATCTTGACAGATGGGAAAACGTGCTGATCCTGATGGATCATACATATGAAAGAATCACAAGGGCAGAATGTGTGAGACACTCAAACTCAATGGCTCCCTTAATTTGTTACAGATATCATGGACAAACACTGCGGATTTATAAGTTCAGGAGCCGGAGAACGGGGACAGAGGGCCTTATCGACAAAAGACCCTGCGCCATTTGTATTGATCATTATCTGGCGTGTGGACTCCACCTTTGTGAGTCTCCACATACCTCATCATTCAGTGAAGTACTGTATAGTGAGTCTAACAACAGGCCGAGAACCTTGGGGAAAAGAATTAATCAATTTTCATCAATGAACAGCAGAGGGTCAATTAGCAACCGAGTCAAATATGAGTCTCCAGGGAGCAATAGGTGGGGAAAGACAGGGCAAAGGTGCTTACAGAGCTGTCAGTAAAACACCACACCAATAGGAAGAGCATTTAAGTAACAAACTCTGCGGAGGTTATCAGTGAGCCTAGTCCAAGCAACTCTCTAAAGGCAACTCTTTGTAGCGTGGTCTGACGCAGAGGTCCCAAGCTGTATAAGAGATTTTACTGAAATTGCCAATTTAACTGAATTTAAAGTTAGTACAACTCATTCATGAATACAGTGAGTACCCAGTACAGAGTATGGAATGACGTGCTTGTCATCACCCCCATTTTGACTCCCCAGGAAAGACAAAGAAGTCACCTTGGAGAACAGATGCTATTTTCCACGGAGGAGAAACCCTGTAATTGTCAGGAACTGAAACTGGGTCAAAATGAAATACTGTGTTTCAGGGTTGTTAAAAGAGAGAGAGAGAGAGAGAGAGATACTACTGCTCAATTCCTTACGATGAATTTGACACAAAATGAGAGTTTCTTAAGATGGTTATGCCTGTACATATTGGGGTAAATTCTATTCAATGACCAGTCAATGAGCCTCGAGCGCTTTGTCCTGTGTGCTTTACTGGTTCCTCACACATAACACTTTTCTAAATGCATGTATGTTTCCTCTGCCTGTTAGACACTAAATGCCCAGCTGCTGATGTAAAGCACACACTGTATGCTAAGTTGATACGCATCATAAAGTAAAACTTCCATTTCACCAGGCCTGTCTGCTTGAGAGACCAAGGAACTTTTATCTATACCTTCCTGTATATGCTTTTGGTTGCATTTTCAGCAGTGAAGTCTTTAGAATGACAACAGCAGTGACATTATGCAACATGTCATTTGTCACTGAGGGGAGCAGAGCCTGGATACTGTGAATTAGGGCGTCATTTAAGGGATGCAGACAAAGGCTCCACCTCTGGGTCTTCATTAGTGTCCCACAGGCTTTTCTGTCTGGCAACCACTTTGTTATGACAACAGATTTTGTGACTCAAAGAGTAAACGTGAATAGCATGGTTTCAGAATGAGCTATGCTATTCCCCTAGTCATTCCTCAGCAGCAAAACATAAACAGTTTATTCTTTTGCCCAGAAAGGATTTAATCTAGCTAGGCCATGTTGACTGACCTCTACATGAGAGCATCCTAATGATCTCAACCGTCGCCATTTTTGAGCGAGACACTACACCTCTATTTAAGATATGGTTTAACAATACCTTTTATTCCCTTGACAAAACATGGCAGTACGCATACAAATATAGAGTATTATTATATAAATTCAGAATAGTACACCCATACGATCCAGGATGCTCTCTGCCTTCTGCCCTGTGCTTCCTGGAATAGACTCCAAGGCTTCCGACAACCTCGTACTGCATAATCAGTTGGAAGACAGACAGATGAATGCAAATCTGAATATGAAAGTGAGAAAGACAACATCAATATAGATCTGTGTATTCCAAATATAACATACCAACATCTTCTGTCTCCATTGGAATCCTTAATTTCTTTTTGGCTCCAACTCAGTGTACGGTGTCCAGCTTGGCTGCACTGAGCATGCCCAATGGCTGCACTGAGCATGCCCAATGGCTGCACTGAGCATGCCCAATGGCTGCATTGAGCATGCCCAATGGCTGAGTTTTGGGGTGTTGCCATTTGAGCCCCTGTGGAAGTGTGACCGTGATGCTACAGGCCGCGCACGCTAGCATCCTACTGACTGACGCAGAGCCAGCACATTTACAATTGCAGTGGGGTCCGCGAGCTGCGGGACAGCAATCTGCCGCAGATACCAGCAGGAATAGCAGCAATCACCCTCCTGAAACAAGCAACACTGCAATGGCTACAGTGGGAAAAAAAAATCCAGCACAAAGAGGGTTAAAATATTATTAATGCATGCTAGGACTGCTGCCCTAAAACAACCTGCAAATACACATCGATTCCTTCTTACACAGGTCAAAAAAGACAGCGATGACACGAAGATGTACTTGGAGATTTCTGCAGCCCTCAGTCAGCCGCAGTTCAGTTTGTTTGGGTTCTTAGGAGTTATTAGATGCACCTGAACTACAGTATACTGCAGTTGGAAGGTATATGAACTACACTGGTATCCCACCCACTGCATCCCCTAACTGATGTTCCATTGATCTTGTGAACAGGTTCACCATGATCCTGCACTGGAAAAGTGGTGGAAGGGATGAAGGGATGGATAGATGGATGGATGGACGGATGGACTATAACAAACAGTAGTGTTTTTCACTTTTTTCTCCATCATTCTGTGAATACATAGAAGTATTTAGGGGCAGGGGTGTTTCCATAATTTGACACTTATGGGGGCTCAGTCCCCAGTGAGATGTACAAAATCTCCCATTTTCTCTGGCTCTTGGGAGATGCAACGACACAATTTTATGGATTTTAATAAACATGAATGGCAATGAGGGGGTTAAGGAATAAAAGCCCCCCTAATACAGCCCCGGCGACGCCCCTGTTTAGGGGAATTACTGACTTCACCACTCATCTTCATTCCTTCAAAGGGGACGGCCGTCACTGGCAGTGAATTTCCATTTCCAGGGGGTCCTTACCGTCACTGTCACCGCACTGGACCTGCGGGAGCTGTGTTCCGGGGCCGCACTCTCGCTCGCCGCTCGGGACACAGTCCTCCAGCTCCACCAGCTGCCAGCTGTAGCAGGTCGGCTCGTCGCACGGTATCGCCTCCCCCAGGTGTGGACAGCTCTCCATCCCGCCCGCTGGCTCACTGACAATCACGCGTTTCCTCATCTTGAGCCCTTCAAAAAAAAATTTGATTAAAAGCGCATAAAATCAGCTCCGACTTAACAAGCCATACTCTCTCATTATTGCTACATGAATGCATGGTCTTTTCAGCCTCTAATATAACAACCGCATTATTTAGCTGTAGTAACAGTACTGTAGTATCAGTATATTACCTGCACATTTCGCCTTTCTCCCAATGTAAGGATGATACAGCTGAAATCCATGTGACTGGGTAAAAACAGCTATGCAACTACCAAAATGCTGAAGGTGAGGAGGACTTAATACCCTGCTATAATACAATATATTATAGCATTTATAATATAATATATTATATATCAAGACAATATTATATTATGAGAAGTTAAAACAGCACTAAAAGTTTGTAGAATAGGGAAAAGTCAAGAGAAAAACAAAAGTTAATTATGTTTCATTTAATCCAACAAGAGCTTAAGGGCAATTTCTGATTAAAAATGCTACAATGTACTTAAAAGGTATTAATTAATTTGAGGCGGGTTTTGAATTTAGCTTCCAAAACAGGATACATACCTATTTATATTAAACAACATTCATTATGTATAAATTCTTATAAAGTATGACAATGGCATTTGGGCACTCCAGGTTGTAACTGGATCTGGAAACCATGTCCAGTACAACAACAGAAAGACACGACCCGAAAACGCACAAAAAATTAAATTAAATTCCCATCTCATTTTGGATGTGAGTCAGTCGTCCGATTGGGAGTGTCAGCGACAATGTCCGTAACAGCGAGGAAACAAGGCCAGCATCATCAGCTGGCTCATGGGGACGCCACGGATGTCACACTCTCTCGCTAAAGTCTCAAAATTATTCCTGTGCACTTTTTACAGCCAAAAATATTTGCTCGACCAGTCAAATTCACACAGCGGTGGGGGCCAGAGGTGGAACTACAATAAAAATAACACAAGCACAAAAATAACAGTCCAACCCCGATGCTTCAGACCAGGGGTCTCCATCTATTTTTCACTGAGGCCCAAATTCCATTCGCAACACAAAGACATGGTCCACTGCCTCCACCAGTGGGTGACCACTGCTTTAAACAACATTCTGTTTGCATTCGCCTGCCATAGAAATTGCCCCCAACCCCGTGGCCTCGGTTGAGAAGCATATCGATCCACTGGCTCCCACGTCCGTGTCGACATGAGGGGGGCATACCCTTTTTCCCAGCCAGGTCCTCGCAGTTCTCAGAGGTGCACAGCCCCCACGCCGCCCAGGAAGAGACCCCGCACTCCACGGGACAGGCGATGTGGCACTGCTGAGTCGTGTTCGGGACGGACCCCATGCACAGTTTGTTATCCACCGGACGAGCAGCTGAAAGTCAAAAACATTATTTGTGCCACGCATTCATTATTTAAAATGTATCATTTACTCAGCTTTTTTGTATATTAAAAACTGTTTATGTTCCCATTCATATATGCAAGCATGGGATACTTTTTTGTTTACTTGTTATTATGGGAATTAACACATGTGCTGTAGCCAATAGTATTAGTCTGTTTGAATATGAAGCTCAAGCTTTGTTGTTAACATTCTCGAGTACCTCTGTTCATGACCATGAATTTGCAGACAGGGCACTGCATCTCCCTGCTGTAAAACATTTACATTTAGAAAGCATTTTTTTGTTTGTTAAAATTTCCGCAAGACACACATTTATCTGAAACAGCTTCGCATTTTTGTTTCTGCCAAGTCCCTTGGAAAAATGGATGGAAGACAACCTTTATGAGAAGGCCTAACCACATCTGATGAAAAACAGAAACAAATCCAAACCAGGAATTATTATTGTTAAATGCAATTTTTAATGTTTTTTTTTTTTTTTAACGTTTGAATGTAAATGTAACATTTTTAAACTTCTGGCTGGGAACAGACAACGATTATGTGTCAGGTATTAGCAGAATGTTAGCCCCTAATGTTGGAAACAGAATTAGTTAGATACTGTATGTCAGGTACAGATATCTCTATAGCTACATAGTAAATATATCTGCTATAGGTGATGTGCCCATTTCTAAGGAAAAGGTTAAAAAACAAAGGTTTCATGCAAGACTGAGCTGTATCTCGGTGTTAACATGGTGACATTTTCATTAACCCTGTCACTTCCAGACCCTCCACTTCACATAGCAAAGCCTGATTAATGAGTGTCTCCTTGCAGATTGACCTTGTTCTGGACATGAGTTTCAATTTCCCCCGCCAGATGGTGCGGCCCCTCTTCCCCGGGTGTTCCTCCTTAATTAGGTGCCCCCAACCCCCCATGCCCAGTGGTTCTGCTGCTTCAGCACATGTTATTGTTTGTTTGTTTATTGATCACTCCTTCTCCATGTAGAGCATGTGCATGGAGGAGCTCGAACAGCTTCAGCATTTAAATGGAAATGTGCTATGTAGTTCATCACCCTGCCATATATTTACATTCCACCCAGTCAGGCTTTTGGTAAACTTGTAAATAAAACACATTTATAATAGTTTGAGGCAATGCCAATCAAGCCATGAACTTCCGCAGAAGTTTTCTTCCTGAAGTGTTCAAGAACTCTAACCATCATCTATGGTGTAGAACATGATGTATGTTTCACTCCGGAAATTGTTTATGTATTGGGCTGAGATTCAGTCAGCAGCTGGATTATTTGTAGAGACGGTTCACAATCACTCTGCCTTCGCCTCTTGGTCCTTTGAGTAAATCAAGTTTCTCTTCCAAGCAAATGCAGCCCAAAACTATAGAGTTTTCAATCACTCAACATCCTCTAACTCACAATGGAAAACAGGCAAGAAAAATGCACAAACAAAATGTGAGCGCTGTTTGAAATGTTAAGTGTTAGCTTCTCCCTATAATGATCAGGCTTCCAAAACATTCACAGAGAGCCAGTTACTATCTCTATTCCCTACTGCATCTCTGCATATGCAAAGCAAACCATAGAGTGGAAAATCCATATTTCACAGGCTCCAATTGTAATCTCGATCATTTATTAGTCAAACAACCGCAAAATGTCGTTTGGCAATATGGAAATACTTTCTCTAACAAGTACTTAATAACCAGATTCTTTCACGTAAATTAAACAAGCTGGTGTTAAAACCTAAAAGTGATGATTTTATGTAAATACTGGTATATCTGTCTGTCTCCAAACCAAGGTGAACATATACCATAAACGGACTATAAAGCTGTTATTATATTTGGTAAAGACCCACTTACACTTAGGCTTGGCGTGGTTTGTTTTTGGCATTCCTGGTGCGTGACACTAAACTCAGCAACGAAATGATATTTGCAAGATTTACATGAAAGGAGCAGTGCGGCGTCTTTCTTAGAATACACATCTGCTGTGGTTGACAGGCACTGCAGTGGTGTTTACCTAGGCTTAATAAGATATTCACGCAACAGTGTTGTGTGAGAGATGAATATTTATTCAATAATTCAAAGATGTGTTCGTGTTTTTGGGGTAAAGCCAGGTAGACGAAATGGGAGGAGAGAATGACGGAGAGAACAGGAGATGAAGGAAGGGAGAATAAATGGCACACCCTGCCAGCATTTCTCACGCTACCCGGCACTTGAAGAGGTGAAGCAAGGAGGTAAGGGGGCCTTTAAATGTCAGAGCAGAGCTTGCAGTTCCGGACAAACCGCCACGGGGAACTCTGAGCTCTGCGCCAGAAGGTATTCACTCAATCCCCCTCCTGCTTTTGAATTGGTTCAGAGCAGCTGGAGCGGTCTGGTCATATGAACAGAACGGCATGTTTCTGTGTCTTTGCTGGAATAAATGAATACTGCATCTAAGACATATTATTTTTGTAATGTAGCCACAAAGCCATCACTGCAGAACGATGGAGAATAAAAGGAGCCAAACCGTAACACCTACCTGTAATTTCAAATGTAATGGAAAGGAATGGAGGAGAAGTTGGCTTCTGTTCATCTTCAGACCGACTGCCTATAACAAAAGGAAGATGTTTCTGTTAGAAGTACGTGGGTTTGACGGGAAACAAAACCAAACGAAAACGTACTGGGAACACACTGATGGCCACAGGCAGGGATGGACTGGAAATCTGGCAGACCGGGCATTTTGCTGGTGGTGGCATGTGGGCCAGAACAGATTATCATGGGGACCTCCAAAGTCCAGTGCCAATTTTCATGCCAGTCCAACTCTAGCCAGGCGGTGCACAATATTGCAGCCTTTCCGCACGTTCACAACGTGGGCGGCGAGAGCATCAGCATTCGTTCTGGCCGCCTTAGTGCTGGGGACACGCTCTGACGTGGATGGAGTGGGCGGGGACAAAGTCGTTAACAATGCTAGGTCTAGCAAACTTATTAAAGCGGCTGCAAAGCAAACTGTAGCTTCCGTTTGTGCCCGACTGATAGGATGTAATTTGTTAAAGTAATTATGTTACAAATACTACTGCTATAAATAAAGAATGTTAAAGTTACCTACGATTCGTACTGTTTTGCATGCTAAGGCTCCAAAAATAGTATGCGGTTTTCGTCCTTTTTCTACAAAATATATATTATGCACTTACACAGCTCATCTGGAACACTAATAATTTCAAACACCTAATTCAATGTCTCATTTTTTTACATTTATGTCCCTGTAGCAAACAGGGACACGGCATAAGTAACTGGGAACGCTGCTACGGCAATGGTTGTATGGAATGCCGTTGGGGTACAAACTGTGACAGTCTTGATACGGCATTCCCCCATTCTCCCTACACCACCAAAAATCAGTCTGAATCCTCAGAGCAGCACTCACCTGATGTTAGTTAAATCTCAGGTTAGTGTAATTAGATCCGCTGAGAGGTTGGATTAATATCACACAAGGCACATTTGCATAGAAACGCTGTCAAAGTTCGCATCATTGCACATCAAGTTCTGCGCAAAATCGGGAAAACAAATTGTATAATTTATTGATTAAAGATGTTATGGAATTTGCATAGATTGTATATTTAATGTGCACTTTGATTAAGCTTCCTTGTTTATGTCAAAGCCGCTCCAAGCTTTAATATCGGTAAAACGTGCCAGTAAAAATAACATTAACGTAAAATTAAAGCGGTTAGGTATTAATGTGCGTTCAATAGCCTAGATAACGGAAATGTTAATGGAATTCAATAATGACAATGTAATTATTTATATAGTTTTATATTGGGCTGTCCGGGGGCTTGAACTCCCGATCAGAAATGCAGTCCCACTGCAGCCTTGACTACTTCACTTCGTTGAAATTTTCACAAATTTTTACTTTCAGTGGTTATGATTTAAAGCCCAAATATTATCATATGGCAACCAATATAATGCATTACAGACTGAACCCTTTCGCCCAGGTATATATCTCAGTACTGAAAGACCTTTTTAACACGTACATTTGTACCATGTTGACACGGTAAAAAAATGCATGTCTAGATGTGTTTTTTAAAAGGCGCAATGTGTATGTTGCCTAAACACAGACATTTTTAACTATGTCTAGAGGGTAAAAATGTCATATGGAGACGTATTCTGCCTCACAGTTTATACCCCGACAACATTCAACACAGTTTCCCATCCATTGTGCTTGGGAACTGTTTGGTCGGAACAAAAGTTTAAACGCTTATGTTCTATATAGCGGAGCATCTCTACATTCCGATTGGTTGCCGCCAAACATGTGTCATAGCTCATTACCATAAAGTTGAGGCTCACACCGACCAAATCGCTACACGCTACGTCGCAACACGTCGCCCCTTCGTTGCCCGGTCACGCGCCCTCCCATTGAGAATGAATGACTTCCGTTTGCTTTGATGCTCTCGCAGCTCGCGGTGGGAACGCACCTTTACTGATGGTACCTGTGAAAGAAGGGCTTTTGAAAACTTTCCACTTGGGCGTATAGTTGCTAAATCCTGAATGAACTTTTTTTGTTGAGTTTCCCTCCCCCTGCTTGCTCAGATGAAGTGTTTTTTTCTTATCTTTCTACAAAAACTCTCTTCTCAGTCTATGCTTCCTCTTTGAGTATGCGCTCTCATATTTATTACCCTACTGTACATTTTAATAAGTCCTCTCAGCAGCAGCATGTGAAGATTTCCTGTCGGGTGCTGATAAGGACAGCTCTGCTGAAAGCTCCAGTAGTTCAGGCCCTCTGAGGCTGGGCCTTCAGACGGCACACTATCCGCCCTACCCCTTCCCGCCGCGTCGGCCCCTTTCCCTCGCAGCTCCCAGTTCCTTGTTTATCTTTCATTCGTTGCACTAGTGTGCGGCTGACCGCCACCGCAGAAGCTCCAAGAGCTACTTGTTCGCAAGTTGCTCGCATGGGTGAAAAGGCGGGATAATCCTCAGGCCGTATTTGAGCTGTCAGCTGAGGGTCCTGCTGCAGCAGCATTTAAGGGAGCTTAGAAAGCATAAACACTGACTCATTCCAAGCCAAAATATCATTTCTGGATTAGAATCTTTACATACTGATACCAAAAAAACTGAATACAATTGCTTATCATGACATGGGGAAGGGTTTTTTCCAAATTTCTTTACAAAAATGCAAAGAATATCTATAATGTCTCTACTACAGTAGGACATGCATGGATTGGCAAACATCTGTTACGTGGAAGATATATGCAAACACATTCATAATGTTTCCTCAGTGCAATTAATCATTCAGATGTCATTTAAAGAGAGTGACAACCCCAACCGTGCAGGAAAAAGAAGTGAAACGTTTATCATAAAACCACTGATTTCTGCAATGACGACTTTTTTTTCTTTTACGCAATGAATAAAACATCACCTCATATTTAATTTTTCTTCCAGCTTCTCAGTCTGTCAAATGCAGTCCTACGTTAATGTGCTGTAACGCGACTAGTTTGACCTTTTAAAAAATCTCCCTGGACCTCAGAAATCTATCTGTTTTTTCATTGGTTTCATTGGTTACAGGTTCAGTCATAACTGGTCCTTTGCCAAGATACCTTCCTTGTCCTTGAGGTTGTTGAGGTAGGCAAGCAGCTCTGCGTTGCTCTGGACACAATAGGCTTCCCGGCTCTGCAGCCCGCCCCCACACAGGCTGGTCTGGTTGCCACGGCGTCTGTCCTGTTGACTTAGCAACACGTCCACCTTGCACTCACTCCACTCCGTGGTCTTCCAGGTGTAGCTGGGATAGGAACAGGGAAACATAATACCCCAGCAGATAGGAACAGGGAAATGTACACCCCAGCAAATAGGAACACCCCAGCAGATAGAAACAGGGAAATGTACACCCCAGCAGATAGAAACAGGGAAATGTACACCCCAGCAGATAGAAACAGGGAAAT